AAGGAACCTGATGACCTCATCGCAACTCAAACCCACAACCTTCCAGCTTGTGGCATAGTGCCTCAACTAACTATGCTACTGCATGCCCCCTCACTTAAATTATAGCAATTTTAATTTTATTTCGTATTTTATTGTAATAAATAGAGTGTGTGAACAACAGCTGCTGCAACAAGTGTAAGTTGCAGACTGTCTGGTAACTACCATACAGGGACTGGACTAAGCAGGCTATTTTTACATGAGAAGTTTCTATGAGCAAAAACTATAGAGCTTTTCTGCAGGCATATAATGTTTTCTTCAGAAACACTCTTTGGATAAGGGAGGTAAATCTACCACTCCCGGAAAGTTAGGTATCTAAGGTTATACTGATATACTACCATAGTAAATAAGTTTGTGGACTGGCCACAAAGCATCGTTGCAGTGCACTACAGCTGATAGGTTGAGGCACGATATGATGACCTGTCAGTTCATCTCTTGTCACAGCAAGAGGCAGTTGTGTGCAAACGGGCGAACAGTGTAAGCAGAACTATGGCCTCTATTGTGAAGTACAGTTAAATGCACATGGCACAAATTGAACATGTAGCAGTTTGAACAAAGGGCAAACATCGTGTTCTGCCAAAAACTAGGCAAATCCCCTAGCAAAACGTTTGGCATAGGAAGAATTGGCTGTTGCTACACGACAACGCCCCTGCACATCACTCTGTTCTTGTCCAAGAGGAACTGGCAAGACAACAGGTTTTGCCACACCCTCTATACTCACCTGATCTTGCACCATGCAATTTCTTTCTGTTTCACCACTTGAAAGCAAAGCTACACGGTCATAGATTTCGGTTGTCCAAGGTCTTCAGATGTTATAAAGTGAATATCCTGCCGATATATTTCAGCAGAGTTTTTGGCAGCTATATAAACGTTGGCACGTTGGCAGACTTGCATAGCGGCCAGTGGCAACTATTTTGAGGGCCAACGTGGATCTGTGTAAGTGTATGTGAATACCTTGCAATATGATGCGATAAAACCAGTCCACAAACTTAATGACCGTACCATGTATTTCACTAGCAAAGGGATATTCAGTTTGTCTGCATAATTCAGACAGTGTATGGTTAGTAAAAACTCTTTTACTCTCTCTCTCTCTCTCATTCTCATCATAGATGCACCTGGTCAACCTCAGGATTTGCGCGTGGTGGATACTAGTAGTCGCAGTGTCCAACTGGCATGGCTGGCACCAAGAGATGACCGTAGCCCTGTCCTGCAGTATGTGGTGCAGTACCAACAAGAATCTAATTCCCGTTAGTAATCTGTAATATTGCAATGTCAAGCTTGCAGCCTTCCGCAACAACAATATATACAGTGTTGTTACTTTTCATATTTACAGCCTTGTTAAATTAATAGAATTACTTTAATAGAGGTCATGTTACTGATAGACTGTTATATCTCACAAGCAAACCACTGGATGGCATGCACCCTAGTGACAAGCTTGGAGGGGGCACGTGTGCAGTTCCATTATTCAAAATATCTAGTGGTGGTAGTAAAGTAAAGTAAAAAAAAGTAAAGTTATCCCTGTAACAGGCCGTGAAGGCCTATAGGGTTGTGAGAGGTTGAGAGTCGCACATTATCTAGACAATCGGCTCAAAGATGGCAGTAAGGCTGTCAGCCTTACTTGCTGGCCATGCTTTACTCCCCAGGAAAATTATTTAATTAATTCCTGGTACTCATTTCTGTTAGAGGCTGAGTCAACCCCAAGGGCATAGTGAGGCCAGAAGGATTAGGTCAATTGAAAAAGTCCAACGACCTCATCGGGACTTGAACCCGCGACTTTACAACTTGTAGCATAGTGCCTCAACCAACTACGCTACCGCTTGGCGGTAGTAGCAAACATAATCCAAGAATGAGAAACAGGTGTCATTTCCTATTAGTATTTCAGTGGTAAGACAAACTGTACATCAGTGAGTCACACCAAGTACCATCTAGTGCATCCAATTTTATTTAAAAAATATTAATAATGCCCAACATGTTTCAGCAATATGTAACCATCTTCAGGGAGATACCATTGTAAAAGGAAATTTTACAAAACATATTAGAAATCTGTTTACAAATCTGCATGAAACATAACGTTAACATTGAAATTAGCATGATAAGATAACAATGAAATGTGGCAGCAGGAAGGTTTGTGTCTCATGTGATGTAACAGAGGTAATGGTGCAGTATGAGTTCTGCTTCAGTGTCTTTAAATAAAACATAGTATCAGTAATTTTATATGTGGTTAAATACTCTATATAATCTGTTATTGATTTGTTTGTAATTTCTGGGAATTATATTGATCATACAGTTTGACCTTGTCCTGTGTATACAGTTGAGTCTTAATTACATACCTGAAGAATAATCGTCATGCTGTATACTTGCGTCATTTAGTAAGTAACATCATATGTACAGAAACTGAAGACACATATATACCTAAAAATAAAGTTCTAACATAATACATGAAAAATTACAGATAAGGCATAGCAGTTGTTCAAGGACATCCAAATAAAACAGCTGGTTAATTAACCCACATAACTAGAAGAAATGTGATGCAACTACATAAGAAAAGCAGAAAGACAATAGCAGCAGATTCCTTCATCACAGTAACCTGTACACCTGATGATGCAGGTTAGGCCGAAACATGTAGTGGCAATAAAATGAAAACAGCAAGAGAATATTCACTGATGTGACACACAGATGGGAAAGAGACCACAGGGAAGCCCATGGCGTAGGTCGGTGGACAATATTAGAATGGATCTTAGAGAGATAGGACGGGATTGTATGGATTGGATAGATCTGGCTCAGGATAGGGACCAGTGGAGGGCTCTTTGTGAACACTGTAATGAACCTTCGAGTTCGATAAAATGCTGGGAAATTCTTGAGTAGCTGCAGAATTGGCGGCTCCTCCAGAAGGGCTCAGCTCCATGAGTAAGTAAGTAAGCAAGTTACACATAGATGGCAAAATAGCAGAATGCAAAGTCAGATGTATATTTGTAGACAAGCAGAAGTGATCATATAAACATCGTGGCAACACGAAGCAGCACTGCAAAATTGGCAAAGCACTCAGTCCGTGTGCATACTCACATGAGGTAACTACTCTTGGTGACACAGTGACACAGACACATTGCTGTAGAGAGGAGCAGCACATAATAACACAGCCATTGCATATGTATGCACGGACAGATATCAATAGGAACGGCGCACAAATTTCTGTGTAACACTGCCTGTGAGAAGCAGGTCATGTACAGCTCAATGTGACAAATGCTGATAGACCACAAAGTCACATGGACACTGATATGGCAGATATTCTGCATGTCTTAGAATGCCAGGCATCTAGCCAATGGGAGTGTTACCTAGCAAATGGCGGCGAGGGTCTTGCATGATCAATGGATGTGCAAGCTGTGCAACCGCATTGGATTATGAATGTCAAGAAGCATTCAGTTAATGACAACTGCAGCAGAATGCAGCCTCTCCAGCCTTTCTCGACCATGTTGCTGATCGACAAAGCGTGCTTCACACAGACTGTAATTCTGAATGCTTGTAACCAGCACACGGACTGATGGGAACCCACGTACCTGTTGAGCTATATGATTCCAACAGCAATGAATGTTTGGATTGAAGCAATTGGCAGTCTCTTCCTAGGCCTTATGAGCTACCACTTTGACTGTCATCTTCTGTTTACAGTTCCTGTCTGAATAATTACCACAACTAATGGACACAGTACCATTGGCAACACAGCACACAATGTGTGCATGATATGATGCAGGTCCTGCTCATTCTTCTCATGGTTCCATGGTTCCATAGCCACTGTGCGGGTCGATGGATGGACATACGTGGACCAGTTCTGTGGCCCCCCAAATGACCTGGTCTCACTCCCGCTGAATTCTGCTTGTTG